AAAAAAAAAAAAAAAAAAAAAAGCCAAAATAAAATATTCTTTCAGAGTCTGAGAGGCTACTTAGTTAATGTAATGGAGGCCAGGGATTTAGCTCAGTGCCTGCCTCGCCACAAGCATTAGGTCCTGAATTCTATCCCTGGTAGCAAAAAATAAATAAATGTAATGGAAATACTTGTTCTGCTACAAAAGAAGACAGAAATTTACCTGTGTTTCATTTATTTATTTTTCTATTTTTAGCCATAATTTTCCTTTTTTAAAAAAAGTAAATTTTGTTTTATTTTATCCTTTCCCTCTCTCAAGCCCCCTTCCTTCTTTCCTTTCTCCCTTCCTCCTCCCATGTTCCCTTTCCCATTTGAACTCTTTCTTCCCATTTCCCAACATCCGTTATACATCTTAGTTCTTATTTCCACTTTTGGTTTCTTACACCAGAGAAACAATATGGTATTTAAACATGTGTGTGTGATTTATTTCACTTAAGAATATCATCTCAAGGTCCATCCATTTAGCTACAGATGTCTGAAGCCCATCCTTCTTTATGGCAGTAGTACTCCCTTATATATAAAAACCACATCTTCTTTATCCATGGTCAGCAGATTTAACTATTACAAACTGTGCTGCTATAAACATGGTGTGCATATATTGCTGTGGTAGGATGCTTTTAATTCTTTTGGAAAGATACCAAGAAGAGGTATTGCTGGGTCAAATGGAACCTCTAGTTTTAGTTCTTTGAGAAAGCTCTACACTGATTTCCACCAGTCTACACTCCCTCCAACAGTGGAGAAGAGTTCCTTTTCCCCCATAGTCCCTCCAGCATTTGAAATTGGTTGATTTCTTGACAAGTACCCATTCTTTCTGGAGTGAGATAGAATCTCAGTGATATTTTAATTTGTATTTCACAAATGGCCAGTAATATTGAACACTTTTTCATATGTTTATTTGCCATTTCTAATTCATCTGAGAAGTGTCTTTTTATTTCACATGCCTATTTTTGAATTGGACCTTTAAATTTGGGGAGTCTGCTATTTTTTTAGTTCTTTATGTATTCTAGATATAGTCCTTTATTGGAATAGCTGGTAAAATTATTTTCCTTCTTTGTGGGTTGTCTTTTCATTCTGATAGTGGTTTCTCTTGCTGTGCAAAAGCTTTGTTTTGTTTTGGGGTTTTTGTTGTTGTTGTTTGGTTTTTTTTTGGTACCAGGGATTGAACTCTGGTTTTGTGAGGCAGGCAGCGGCACCCCTGAGCTGAATCCCCAGCCTGCAAAAGCTTTTTAATAAGATGATATCACAGTTGTTGATTCTTTGTAGTATTTCCCATACGGTCTGGGTTTTGTTCATTAAGTCTTTGCCAACTCCTATGTCCTCAAGTGTTCTACCTATTCTCTCTTTCAGCAGATTTAGTTTCTAGTTTGTTTTAATATTTAGTTATTTTTGTTTGTTTGTTTTGTGCTTTTTTTTGGTACTGGGGATCGAATTCAGGACCTTGCACTTGTGAGGCAGGTGCAGTACCACTGAGCTAAATCCCCGGCCATTAATACTAATATTTTTTTGTTTGTTTTTTGTTTTGTTTTGTTTTTTGAGACAGGGTCTCACTAGGTAGTTGAGACTGACCTGGAACTCACTTTGTAGCCCAGGCTGATCTGGAACTCACAGTGATCCTGCTGCCTTAGCCTCCCGAGTGCTGGGATTACAGGCCTGCGCCACCACGCCCAGCAATACTTACATTTTTGATCCATTTAGATTTTAGGTTAGTGCGAAGTGAAAGATATGGGACTAGTTTCATTCTTTGGCATGTGGAAAGCCAGTTTTTCCAGCACTGTTTATTAAAGAGGCTATCTTCTAGAGAAGGTGTTTGGCTCCTTTGTCAAAGATAAGGTGGTTGAGTATGTCTGGAGTTGTTTCTGCATCCTTTAGTCTGTTCTATTGATCTTCAGGTCTGTTTTGCCAGTACTGTGCAGGTTTTTTTTTTAGCTTTGTAGTATAATTTAAAAGTCAGGGATTGTGATACCCCCTGGTTTACCTTTGTTGACTAGAATTGCCTTTGCTATTCTAGGACTCTTTTGGTTCCAAATGTATTTAAAGAATTTTTTTTTCTAATTTTGTGAGATACGATATTGTTGGGGTTTTTTGTTTGTTTGTTTGTTTGTTTTTTGCACTGGGGATCATTTGCGTCCTTGCACTTGTGAGGCAGGTAGCGGAACCACTGAGCTAAATCCCCAGCCTGTTGTTGGGATTTTGATTGGAGTTGCATTGAATTTGTATAACAATTTTGGAAGTGTGGACATTTTCACTATATTAGTTCTTCCAATCCAAGAACAAGGGATATCTTTCCATTTTCTGATATCGTCTTCATTCTCCTTTTTCAGAGTACTGTAGTTTTCAATGTAGAGGTCTTTTACTTACTTCCTTCGTTAGATTGATTCCTAGGTATTTCTTGTTTTTTTGGATGCTATTGTGAGAGGGATTGTTTCTATAATTTCTCTCTCCATCAGTCTATTATTCGTGTACAAGAAGACTATTGATTTCTGAGTGTTGACTTTGTATCCAGTTATGCCACTGAATTTGCTTATCAAACCTCAAAGTCTTTTGGTGGGGTTTTGGGAGTCTTCTGTGTAGAATATTATGTCATCTGCAAATAATGATAATTTAACTTCTTCCTTTCCTATCCTTATTCCTTTTATTTCTTTCCCTTGTCTAATTACTCTGGGTAGTGTTTCCAGAACCATATTGAACAAGAGTGGGGATAGTGGACATCCTTGTTTTGTTACTGATTTTAGAGTGAAAGCATTCAGTTTTTGTCCATTTAGTATATCGGCCATTGGTTTGTCATAGATGGCTTTTATCAGATTGAGATAAAGACCATCTATACCATTTTTCTGTAGGGTTTTTGTCATTAATGGTTGTTGCGCCTTGTTAAACACTTCTGCATCTATTGAGAGGATCATATAGTTTTTGTCCTTGGCTCTGTTAATATAGTATATTACATTTATTTGTTTCAGTATGTTGAACCATCCGTGCATTCCTGGGATGAATCCAATTTAGTCATGGGTATAATCTGCTTGATGATTTGCTGCATTCTGTTTGCCACTATCTTATTGAAGATTTATGCATTTGTGTTCCTTAGGGAGATTGGCCCGTAATTCTCCTTTTCGGTTGGAACCTTCTCTGGTTTTAGAATTAGGGTAATACTTGCTTCCAGGAATGCATTTGGGAGTATTGCTTCCCTTTCAATTTCAAAAGAGTTTGAGGAGTTGTGGTCTTCTCTAGGTATCTTATATAATTCAGCAGTGAATCCATCAGGGGCAGGGCTTGTCTTTGTTGGTAATTTTTAAAGTACATATTCAATATCATTAACTGATACTGGTTTATTTAGAATTTCTATATCTTCTAGATTCAGTTTTGGTAATTCATATGTATCTAGGAATCTTTCCATTTGTTCTGTATTTTTCATCTTATTAGAATATAGGTTCTTGGGGTGGGGATTTAGCTCAGTGGTTCAGGTGCCTGCCTCACAAGTGGCAAGGGCCTGAGTTTGACCCCCAGTACTAACCCCTCCCCAAAAGAGCCAAAACAAAGAATATAGGTCCTTGAAATAGGAATTGATAGTCTTCTGGATCTCTGCAGGATCTGTTGTGATTTTACCCTCTTCATTCTTAATTGCATGAATTTGAGCCTCCCCCCCTTTTTTTTTTTTGGTTTTTTATTTTATTTTGTTTTGGTTTGGTTTTGGTTTTTTGAGACAGGGTCTCACTATGTAGTTGAGACTGACCTGGAACTCACTTAAGTAGCCCAGGCTGGTTTTAAAATCAGAGCGATCCTCCTGCCTTAGCCTCCTGAGTGCTGGGATTGCAGGCATGCGCCACCACACCCGGCCTTCTTTCCTTTGTTTTAATAAGGTTGGATAAGGGTTTGTCAATTGATTCTTTGTATTGTTTACTTAGTCTCCATTGCATTAGTTTCTGCTCTGAATTCTGTAATTTCTTTCCTCGTATGAGCTTTGGGCTTGACTTGTTCTATTTCTAGAAACTAAAGGTTCAATATTAGGTTATGTGAGCCTGCTCTGTTTTCATGACTGTTTTCATTGTGTTCCACAAGTTCCAGTATGTTGTAGTGTCATTTTTGTTTAATTGTAGAAATTGTGTGGTTTCTTCTTTAATTTCATCTGTGATCCATTGGTTGTTGAGGGCCATGTTATTTAATTTCCACATGTTTGTGAAGTCCTTTTGGTTTCTTTTGCAATTGATTTCCAATTTCGTTGCATTGTATTCTGATAATATGCATGGGATTATTTTAATTCCTTTGAATTTACTTAAGCATGTTCTATGAACTAGTATATGGTCTGTTTTCAAGAAAGGCCCATGTGCAGCTCAAAAGAATGTGTATTCTGATGGTGTGTGATAGAAGATTCTATAGACAACCTACTAAGTCCATTTGTTCAAAAGTTTGGTTCAGTTCTAGTATTTTATTGTTGATTCTTTCGTCTAGTTGACCTATTTGTGACAGTGGGGTATTGAGGTATCCCCTGTTACATCTGTATTAGTCTTATATAATTTTTCATGTCTGTTAATATTTGTTTTGTATAGTTGGGTGTACAGCTATTTGGTGCATATATATTTAGGATTGTTATGTCTTCCTTTAGATTGTTCCCTTTACAAGGAGGTAGTAACTTCCTTTGTCTCTCTTAATCAGTTTTGGCTTGAAATCTACTTTGTCTGCAAATAGAATAGCTATCCTGGCCTTTTTCTGGGTTCCTGTCACATGGAATATTGTTTTCTATCCCTTGACTTTCAGTCTGTGAGTTTTTTGTTTGTTTGTTTTTGGTAGCAGGGATTAAATTTGGGTCCTTGTGATTGT